ACACGAAGAATAATTGATATCAACTTAGCTTTTGTATCTTTTCTTTTCAGAATTTGGTTTCGTTGAGGAGAGAAGGGGGTGGTAAGGGCTCATGGTTAGGTTCGTAAGCTCGGAAAAACGGGAAATGAAACGAGAGTGTCTTTTTAGCAAAATTGACGATAAAGGCTCCTCATATATTTCCTTTTCTATTATCACGTACTCTCCTAAATTGTACCGCATTATACAACATTAATCATAAATATGTTACAGTGGAAGTATATCCTTTTTTTACTTTCTATTCTTCTTTACAAGTTATTCACATTTAACATGTATGTATTTACTTCGACCGTAACATGTACATTCAATAACGCTCAACAAGATTGCTCGTCGTCGATACAAGGTACCATCATTTTTTTCATTAGCATTAAAAAATAGTATGGGTCGTTTTAATGAACTTTACATCGAACGAACTTTCGTCGTTTTAATACATCTTTGCTGTTTGGTTTCTTCTTTTCTTTTCTTTTTGTCTTCTTTTAATTTTTTTTTTTTTTTATCTTTTCTTACAACGGGATAAAATCTCAATTGAACGCAGCTTTAAAATCTGTATAGCACCGATAGTAACAATTCCTAATTTCTCTTTATGAGTCTGCTAATATACTTTTGATCAAAGACTTCATAATAAGAAGATACGTGCTATTTAAAACGAATGACAGAATACTTTAGTGTTTTATAAGAATATCTTCTTAAATATAATCTTATTAGTATGTGTAATCATCTAAAGTTTTGAACTATTTGTATAGAGATAATATATACTAAGTAGGCAATAGATTAAAGATTGATTTTCTTAATATTTATAAGTTTTATGCAACACTATTAGATCACTCTGTATTTTCTGTCATTCATATTATCTTTAAACATTATCCTTATTAGAATAAAAAACTATTGATCTTTTTTTTTTTTCTTTTCTGATAAATATGTAATATCATATGAGAACGATGTTGAGTAATATACATTTTTGCAATTTGTTATAAGATAAAAAAACTTAAAATTTAGAATTTTATATAGCATTACTTTATGCAAGATTCAATATAATGTGTCAATGAGATCTCAAATGTAAATTGTCATTTGTATATAGCACGATGTCAAGCTTCCTAATAGCGATTTATAAAACATATAATAGATACTATAAGCAATAAATAATTAACTACATCAGTTACTATCTTTCATAGATGATAATACAATAAGAAAAATTTTCAATGTCAGTACGTTGGCATTACAACTTTTGTACGTATTATAGGAAGCATCGCTACAAGCATGTAAACTACAGAGCAAATATTTTGTTGAAAATATCATTAACACTATGAATCAGAAACATTTAATAAAAATTCATTACCAAATATGCATATATTGAAGAATCGAACAATCATTCGGAGATAATGTAAATTCACTTTATAACTGTATAATTAGTTCAAGTACAATTATGGTTACCATCAGAATCTGGATCTCTCTCTGTATCATTGACTGTAGCACTTGGCAGAGGAACTATTTCTGGTTCCAATGGCTTTACCGAACAATCAATATCCTCAACAATTACTTCTTCAGCCAAACTGCTTCTAACGGCCTCTGTGACATTTGTTAAATGCTAATATTTAAATTATCATACTTTTCATATTTAACTTACCATTAAATGCTTGTGGATATTGTTGACTTAATTTATTTTTCACTATACGTATTCTTTTGAAAATGTAGTCCAAGTCTTTTTTCATTTCTATCAACAGAGCAGTATGCTTTTTAAATTCAGCTCCTGCTGACTTTAGTCTATTTATTGATAATTGATTGCAATTAGTTAACATTTCATTCGTTTTTTCAAATCTTTGTAACCTAAAATATAAAGATGTCCAAGTTATTATATGATAAGATACTTATTAAAATAAATACTGTAAAATATGTATAAATGTAATATTTACATTTGTTTTTGAGCTCGTATCATAGATTCTACATCTTGCTGATCTACTATTCCTGCTAGTCCTTGTATGAACACCTCTGGTGCTGTATAATTTTGAAAGCATTCAAAGCTTCCAGTGTCTGATTCTGGTGTTCCTTGTGTAGTCGTCATGATTCTATTATCTCTTAATAAACTTTGTAATTATCTTCTCACAAATTTTCTTATTAAAAAATACAAGACTTGTTATTAAATTTTGGCATTGAAAGTTCTTAAATATAAGCACAATAATTATAAGATTTACAACACAATTGATATTATATATTTTAAACATATCTCAAAATGTAAAATCTTTTAAGACATAGCGATAACATCGTCAAATTATTCTATTGATCTTTGACAGTTCGAACTGACACTTCATCATTTCCGCCATTATCGAGTTATCCTCAACTAGATATAGGAATTCATGTACACATCATTTCAAATACCTATGATAAAACTTTTATTATCTTAATGATATTATTGTTCAAGAAGTATAAATATTTGTAGTAAATTATCATTACAAAGGTCAATGGTATGTAAATTATTGAATTAGCGTAAAATCTGAGAACTTTTTCAAATCGTGGCGCCAAAATGTAAGACAAAAGACAGTAAAAGAATTCTGAAAAATTTTGCCTTGTGTTGTTAATAGAATATTTATTGGATTTTACAGCTGTCTGATATCGATCACGTTAAACAAATCGAAGATAAAAGAAGATAATTTTTTCAACCGAACAATCGTTTTGTGTAGTTAAAAACCAAAAATTATGATTAATTTGTCGAGATAGAACAGACGCAAGAAGTGACGCGTTTGCAAGTAGGAGGGGGAGCATCAACAGCTGTTCGTTGTTCGATGTTTTCAAGACAGATGATAGCACGTGAGGCATTCAAATTTTCACAGTGACTGTTGTCTCTCGAAGCGAAGCCTAGTCCATATAATCTCTGTAAAAGAAGAAACTTTTGTGAGAGCATATTTTGCGAACTTGTATTCGGAATGGCCCAGAATATAAATCCATTTTATTCTTCTCAAAACACGCCGAGCAAAGCTACAGAAGAAAAACATAACAAACCGAAAGATAATCATGCAGTCAGTAAACGGTACGTCTTTCAGTAATCCATTGTATTCTTGCATTAGCCTTCGCTATAAATATTATTATTTTGTATCTATTTAAATTTTATTTGAGCTTTTTCTTGCTGGATGCTTAGAAATGGTGCGCTTGTTAGAAAAAAATAACTCAATTAAACGAATATGTTATTGAACGACATAACCTTAGATTCTAATCAAAATAATATCTTATCATTGATATATGTATATATGTATGCGTGTGCGCACAAGCGTGCCTGCACGCCAATATGTGTACAAAATACAGTTTATTATATTTATTCAAGTACAGTTCTATCAAGAGGACTATATTTCACTTAGAAAAATTGTGAAAGTATTAATTTGATTAGATAGTTCATCGATATATTTCTATTATAAATTTTTAAACATTTTCTTACTTCTTATTAAGAAATAATATCTTATAGGCTACAAAAGGAGCTTATGGTCTTGATGATGAGTACAGAAAAAGGAGTGTCTGCTTTTCCAGAGAGTGAAAATCTATTCAAATGGATTGGAACTATTACAGGACCTAAAGATACAGTGAGTGTTGATTTGCGGAATAGGTTTTTTTTATTAAGTAATTTATAAATTAAATTTTACCTATAGTTAATTATTTTATATAACTTTAAAATATATAAATTTATGTTATGTAGGTTTATGCTGGCCTTACATATAAATTGACCTTAGAATTTCCACATAGTTACCCATACAGTGCACCAATAGTACGATTTGCCACTCCTTGTTTCCATCCAAATGTGGATTCGGTTGGTAATATTTGTTTGGATATATTAAAAGATAAGTGGAGTGCTTTGTATGATGTTCGTACTATATTGTTATCTATACAGTCTTTACTTAGTGGTAAGTAATATTGACCATATTTGTGTGATACGCAGAATTGAATTTTTCATATTTATTTTACTCATTTATATGTACAATTTATTTTTGATATGATAGAACCCAACAACGATAGTCCGCTTAATCCTTTGGCAGCAGAACTGTGGAGCGATCAGACAAAATATAAAAAGCATCTAACAGAAGAATATCACAAAGCTCTCAAACATAATCAAGATTCATGATAAGCCCATAATTATGATCATTCTGAACCTTTCATTACTATTATTCCTATCAGTGTTTTGATTATAACTAAGTAAAATGTTGAGCATTGTCTGCCTTAAAGACTCATTTACATTGACATGGAATCTTTAGATTCATATTTCATTAGTGTAAAGTGTAATATGGGATCAACATTACATGCTTCGCTTTATTGCATTTGCCCTTACGTAAATTGTTTTTGTTCTTACTATGACTTTAATTTTATAGAATCTCTGATGTCAAGATCAGGTAAGAGCATCAAAGGCATTTGCAATTATATCAGATTTTTTATGAAAAGTATTTATTTATTTTACATTAAGTAATATATGTTGAATTTCAACATCATTACACTTCTCATATGTGACTAGTGCATTTGATATATATCTCCATTTCATTTATAGTCATTGTACAATTCCAAAATAAATATTTTAAAATGATTGTATTAATTGAAAAAATTATTTGCCGCCAGAAATTAATTTATTTCGATTGCAATTTATAACGATTTGTATGATTCTTCAGTTATAATATAACTGATACTTCTACGTATGAACATTGTAACTACATAGTAATTTTACTAAGTCACTGTGAATATTTTAATAGGAAAAATCACTTCTTAACATGTTGACTGCCGTGGGGGTCACCGATGACCGGCACTCGACTTGGCTACAGCGCCGTGGAGGCCACCGGTGACTGGCGACTCCACGAATAGTGAAAATACATAATTAGGGTAAACATCGATCCAATAAATTTTTTAAATAATACCATTGATTCCGTAGTAGTTTAAAGAAATTAATCCCGTACAGAACATGTAATGATAATTTTATTAATACAAGGAAAATATACATATTATTTGTGCACATAACGATGAGCCACATTGAAACACGGTAGGCAAAGAAAAGATGAACTAGGATATTCGGCACAATATGTCGCCACCTTTTTAGTGCAATTCTTTGCTCTCATTCTTCCTAAGTTTTGAATTTTTTTCGTAGCACTTTGCAAAATCACATTTCGCATTACATTTCGCATACTTCCCGGTTCCCTTTTAAGTTCATGACGACGCTTTTTCTGTATGCAATTTCTTAATGAAATGAAATCTTCATCATCAAAACATTTCACTAAATACATCGCTAACTTCATCCTAAAATCGGTGACTGAAATATTTTTTCGAGATTCTTATTTGTATAACACCATTGAATTTACAACACAAGTATTCAGCAAAAGCTCTATTGCCAATTTTCTGTTATCACTTTATAGTTTTTTGCATTGGTGAACTATAAGCAGTCATTTGATCAGATAAATCAACTGAAGATTTCCCTAAATTATAATCTGTTACCATTTTTGGCTTCTGTGCAAAATGGTCTATAGTGCCTTGGTGATCACCGATGACCCCCACCACGAAAATTGCATAAGACATGTTTATGCAACTGATCTTATCTCTTGTAAATAATATTTGAACATAATATGTATCGCATACTAAACAATTTATATTGGTGCCTTGTACAAGTCACATAAAATTCGCGAGGCAGTCAACGTTTTAAATACACGTTGTCTATATAGACAAAAGATTAAACCACGCAATAATTTCTCATTCGGATTTTTAAAAATATTTTACTAATATTAAAGTAGTTAATATATATATATATAGACACACACATACATACATACATATATATATATATATATATATATATATATACATATACATACACACACATGCAATTATTGTATAATTCTGTGCATTCCACAATATAAAAAATTCTATTTGATTGGATGGAGCGATGTTGGTATCACGTTTTTTATACTTGCTATCAAAAATTCTGATAATATTCGTAAGATGATACTATTTATTTCGAATGTTTACATTATTTCAAATACATTTACGTAGTTTTTTCTGTACGCACATTTTTTTATATACATATACGTAGATATGTGTGTGTGTGTGGGTGTGTATATGAATACACATATGTAAAAATTCAATGTGTTGGATTTAAACTTAATTTTTAATTATTTAATAGTTATATTTATTTCTTAATTTTGTATCTTATCAGAATAGGGCATTTGAATCGAATTATAAACGAAGTCAAACGTACTTTGATTGAAGGGAAATCATCGAAGATAAACAGTTCAATTGGTAGGATATATATTCTTTACTTAGTTTGCTCGAATACAATAGCCATTTATTTTGGGCGATATACGTAATTTAATTAATAAAAGAAAGTCATTATTGATTATTATTTTAATCAATATATTTTATCAATTCAATTTGAATTCAACGGTCGTTGCTATTATAATATCCATATATAATCACATAGCAGTATTTATATGTATGTGTAAACATGGCGGCATTACGAGGAAGATTCTTTACTGTTGTGAATACATTTTCATTTTTCACCGAGAAAAAGTCATTAAATTTTAAGAAATATGTGTTAATAGTGCGCACAACGATAGGAAGAACTTTTTCAGTAAAAACAATTAAAGATATCGAGGTAAAGGAAACTGTAATTTAATTATTGAAATAATGATCAACTGCCATTACATTTGTATATATAGTTATCTTTTTTCGCAGGAAAGGAAGGTCAATGTCAATGGGTTTGATATTAATTATGTTAGAGTCGGGATTGGTAATCATCCTGTTCTCCTATTACCTGGTGCCCTAGGTAATTAGAAAATCACAAATTTTTATTCATATATTAACATTATATAACTTTTAAAGTTAATTTATTGAAATTTATTGAAATGTATAAAAAATTGTTATTGTATAAAAAAAGATGAATTAATAGTCATTTATCTCTATATTCTTTATTTCTTCTTACATATTGTTACAATAGATGATAGTATAATTAAACTTAATAGTCTTGTTGATAAAGAAGAAAACTCTAATAATGAATATGTATATATTACTAAGTCGAGTAAAGTAATTAAAAATATTTATGCAGCGATTTTTATCAATAAGTTATTTTATTTTTTAGGAACTGCTTGGACTGACTTCAAACCTCAACTAGAAAATCTTGATAAAAACAAGTTGACTGTAGTAGCATGGGATCCACCTGGATATGGAAAATCGAGACCACCGAACAAAACATATTCAGATGATTTTTTGCAACGTGATGCCGATTATGCTTTTGATTTAATGAAAGTTCTAGGATATAAGAAATTCTCTTTGATTGGATGGAGCGATGGTGGTATCACGTCTCTTATACTTGCTGCCAAAAATCCTGATAGCATTCGTAAAATGATCGTATTTGGTGCGAATGCTTACATTCTTCCCGAAGAACTCCAAATTTATAAAAGTAGGTATTTATTCGAAACTTTTATATTTTTATATCATTAATATTATTATTTCAAATGGCAAATGTAAACACGTATACACATATACATTTTTTATTTGATTTTAAGGCATTAAAAACATCGACACTTGGTCGGATAAAATGAAACAACCATTGATTGAAGTTTATGGTGAAGAGTATTTTAGAAATACTTGGTCCGATTGGGTAGATGGTATGGAAAGAATATATGAAAAAAACAAGGGTGATTTATGTAAAAATGTGTTGGCTAAAATAAAGTGTCCTACTTTAATCATACATGGAGCAAAAGATGTAATAGTAAAGCCAGAACATCCAGTTTATTTAAAAGATCATATAAAAAATTCTGAGTATGTGGATATTTTTTTTTATATGTAAATATATAATTAGTATGGAAGATGTATTAATATAAACATATATTTAAACTTATTTAATAGGGTAATAATACTTGAAAAAGGAGCTCATAATTTACACTTAAGATATCACGAGGAATTTAATACATTGGCCATGAAGTTCTTAACAGAAGATTGAAACATTTTTTAAGTTTCTTATTTTCTTAATAAGAGTAAATTAAGTTGGGTAAATTTTGCAACATTTATATATATTCAATTTTATAAGTATTATAAATATTTCATTCATAAATATTATAAATATCACATTTATTTCATTTATTCAATTTTGTACATACACACACACACACACACACACATATGTCCGGTTTATACGTATACATACGATTGTTCCGTAAGTATTAAAAATGTAAAAGAATATTTTAAACGAACGCCGTATGACATCATTATAATGATAATTATTTGACTTTATGATGATTTTGGAAAGCTCTATCTTGTTTATGTTTGTAAATGAAAACTATAAATTTTTCATTGCATATTCTTATAATCGAAATTGAAATGTTTTCAAAACATTACTTAATTATGTTTTATGCATAAATCACTATCGAAATATTAAATCTCAAAGTTAATATATCTTACATTACATATAGCCTTAGCGTTATCCAATATGTACCGTGAGCAGATTGCTCAGTCGCCCTTTATAAATATATAGCGGCATATCAACTTTGAGACCTAATATCTCAATATTGATTTGTAAGAGACATAAATTAGTAGTGTTTTGAAAATGATTTGATGTCAGTTATTCGATATCATTTAAAAATTTTAACGTGATCCTCACAGAGTTCTTTAACATTATCGTAAAGTTAAATAATTATTATTACGGTGTGTCTACTTGACACACATAATATTCATAATATTCGTTAAATTTCGTTTGAATTTTTTGACATTTTTAATACTTAGAGAAATTATCACGTGTATTCATTTAAATCGGATATGTATATATTGAAAAGAAGGAACATGCTTTATACTGAAAATAATACTATAAACTGATAGTCAAAAAAGCGTTTTCATTAAGAAAAACAGCAAAATGTGAACGTATGTTTCTAGAAATTCGTGATTTCTCAAAATATCAATAGATAGATCGCATTTATATATGATTCCTGTTTATAATTTAGCCGAGTAGCTCAATTCGCGGAATCGACCGCAAAACATTTCATAATTTTATTTATTCTTATCTGAAATTTATCATGATTCTTATAGTTGTTCTTAATATTTTATGATATATTCTATATGCTCATTTCTATTATTATAATAAAAACATATGTATATATATCAGAAATTATCACAAGAAACGTGTATCAAATGAAAATTTCATTGATATAACAATTTTTATGAAAGTGATCAGAAATCGAATACATTTACTTCATGTTGCAGGGAGACACGAAGCTTTCATCCTACGAAGAAAGTGTCGTTCAAACACATTTATCTCATTTAGGAACGTAAACTCATAACCGGATCGTTGAACGTCATCGAGTAAGAAAGGCATAGAACTCGAAATCGTTTTTGGTTGTGGCTTACCGAAAGAGGCTTAACGTTTCCTTTGCCCACGCTGTATCGCGATTCTCCTTTCTCTGCTTGCGCTCTCATGCCGGTTATCCCACGTACGTCCTCCGTGCCAGGTCATACGATCGACGTGCCCGATCGTGGCGAACACCGACTACCTAGAGTGGTGCCTTTTAAAAAACATAAATCAAGTGTCACGTATTGAATTTTCTCCTCTTCTATGGCACCTCTTTTATGCTTTAAGACGTTCGAACGAACAAGAGTTCTAGCTTACCATCGATCAATATTCCATAATTGAGAATCACTTTTAGTCTGTCAGCATTTTCTTTCTTAATCAGAACAAAGACATTTTTTTAAAGTTCCTAGAAATTTTCTATATTTCATAATTTTTTTTTAATTTTATCATATATTATAACCGTCTAACGTGAAAAGTCAAAGAGCATGTTGATTAGATCGTTTAATTGATCGTCCTGAACTATTTTTCATTTCGATTGTAAGATTAACTAGATTAGATTATTATTACGGTAACAAGCTGTCGTAAGTACGGGAAGTGTCGCTTATATAATGCCAAGGCTATGGAGTCATTTGATGAAGGTGATTTTTATGAAGGCGTTTGCCTATGAGCAGCTTCATGAAGTATCATTTAATTATAATATAAAACGGAATTGTTATATACAATATGTCGTTATAGATTCCACATATATTCTCTTGTATTTTTATTTTATAATGTCTTCGTAGTTTAGATGGAATAAGAATCAATACGATATGAGCATTAGATAGTGGACACGTACGATCGTAGATCTGACATCCGTCCTCTACTTTGCCACTAGCATAACAAGCAACTTCTAATCTGCATATCAATCATGCACCATACTGTTGATTGCTTGATACGTCACAACGAGATTCTAAATTTATTGACATAAACGTATCTTTGATATTATTTTAGATAGCATTATTGATTTTTTTCGTACAAATGACCTTCCATTTGAACATCAATATTTATTTTATTTTATTTTATATACAGACTTCTCTAAATGATTCGTTATGCTTATGTAGATGTAATTAGTTTTTTGTAGGTTGGATTTTATTTATTAAATAATAAATTTTTCTACATATAGATTTGATAATTTTTAAATCATATGGTATAGTTTAGGTCATATAATGTTTTATATATATATATATATATAATTTTATTAACACTTTCTTAACATTTCCTTATTGCAGTAGAAAAATATCGGACGATGTCACTTGCGAGTTTGCAGTTGATGAGAGAGAGAGAGAGAAAGAGTCCAACGAATTCAACGAGCTAATAACGAAGTTCCTCTCGGGGCCAGTCATAGATCGACTAGTAGCTATTTTTGTCGTATGAATAACAGTGAGTTTAAAGCAATACAATAATTTTAATGGATCTTATAGATTACAGGAATATTTTTTGTGACATATATACATACGATATATAGCATATATTATATATATATATACATACATATTATACTTATACTTGTTGTATTTATAAGAGCGTTGCTTTTCTTTATATTCTTTCATAATTAACGTTCACCGAGATAGTTCGCACGCACTGCATTATAAATGCATAATCTTTACATATACGTTGAATATTTTTTTATCTTCTTAGAAAGTAATCTAATATCTTTACTTGGTATAATATAAAACTCACGTTACTTCGATCGAAACCAGATTTACAAACCTACATGATTCGAAAGGCATATTTTTTCTTGATATTTTTTCAGCTTAAGAATTCTCTCCATCTTTGTGTTCTCAAATTATCGTTCGTACTTGTAAAAATATAAAGGGAGGGAAGTTACGAGCTTTCAAAGATGACGAAGAAACGTCTTCAGAGTTTTTACCACTTTCTTTTTATATTGCTTTTTTACATACGATCTGTCCTATAAAGTTCCTAATGAAGTTTAACTAGTATAACGCGCATAGCTTAATGAATTCCGTCTACAGATTGAATAATTAATCTCTCCCTTCTTTGTTGTACCAGTTATGCTCGGCTCTCTCATTAGTTTCGCTTTAAGCTTATAATATGTTTGACGTGAATTCTCGTTAAATAATATTTAGTATGCACCGTATATTTAGTCCCTCGTTAATAATATTTACTATGACGTTAGGTAAATACAATATTTTGTTAATAACACATTTGAGATCTTGTTCCAGGTATTTTTAATGGATGTCATCGTTCCTGCTTTCGTTATATTTTCGTTCGATATAAATTCAATTGAAACCATAGAGCCAAACGATGAATTCCAATTAGAAACTTTTTGGTCGCGCCGTTTTACGATTGATCGCGAGGCAAGCAGCCAAAACGTCCGCAATGCGCTTCTCCACGGACAAAAATCAATGGTCCTTCCACAAGCGAACTGTATATGATGTTAATCCTGCGCCATCTTTGAATCATGCGATATCATTTTATCGCACGAATGTTAATACATTGTTGATCGGTCACGAATATATTCGTGTTCGTATTACATGTGCAGCAATATATTTAATTATTAAAGTTTAATATTTGGTTTATTGCATTAAAAAATATTCACCTAATCTTGATATTGTCTATTCTTTTATAGTATTTTAATTACAATTTTTGCAATATAAACTTTTTCATATTTAGTTTTTCAATAGCTTTTTAATACAAAATTTTATAAAACTGTTTATATATTATTTATTGCATTGGATAATGTTTAGTTAATATTGATATTATCTTTTTCTTTTTTTTTTTTTTTTTTTTGTTATATTTGGCATTTTAATTGCAATATTATTAACTTTTTTAATTTAATTAAGCATGAAATAGCTAGTCAAAAATTTATTAACATGATTATTTACGATAATACAACTTTAGTCGAAATAATTTGTATGGAAAATAATTTCTTTTATCTAAAGACTTTAGAAGTATACTTTCCTGCTTTGTAGGATGTGTTTAAAATAGTAGGAAACATTTTTAGATAAAATATACGAGCATGAATTCGCATTATCGGAAACTCGAAATGAGACGAACATCGGGATATCATCCGTTACTTTTGTAGAAAGTAGTTTCGTGCCACTTATTATACGGACACCTTTTGTGTGTAATACGATGCAAGTCTTTTTCAGTATGACTGCAAGTATACTTTCCTAACATGGTATAAAATGATACTCGAGTTTAATTTATAAAAACATTCGATCCTTTTAAAAGCAAATTATATCTCACGGAATAATTTTTTATTTTTGGGTCTTTATAATTTTGTACACGTTATTCTCATTACTTTTGGTATTATTTTTTTTCTTTTTTTTTTTTTTTTTTAGTAATAGTTGATTATACGAAGTGGCATGAAAAAGAGGCCATAATAGATCTAATAGGAGATAACTAGCTGCCCTCGTGACCCCAAGTAACCCTTAGGGAGTGTTTAGCATATAGAGAACAGGGCGTATGAACGAGAAAGTTCGATCATTAGTTGAATTAACTACGCCCATCTAGAACTTAATTCAAACTAGCTTCTTTCCAGGCTAATAGCTTCAGAGAATATCGTTATTTTGCTGGATGATAATGTTGGTAGATTAAAAAAGAAAAGATCTTACTTAAGTACCTATACTATAGTGAACGAACTGTACTCATCCTGATTTTAATTTTTTAATGATCTATATTAACATTTTTGTTCTCTTATATATTTCTTGTTTTAAATTAGAACAAAAAGAAAGAATATTTTGCAGTAACATATTATCATGAGCTGTACTCACATTGGTCATCTTTATATTATAATAATGACAAGTAAAATCACATTGTTTTGAGTTTTCTACAGTTTTATTTTCTTTTATAAATACACTTTTTTTTTTTTTTTTTTTTTTTTTTTTTTAAATAAATTCATGCTATTTTTGCTCGTACGACGTTTGATATTCACCGACAATATCATGATAAAATGAGGAGAACTGTGACGAAGTTGTTACATCACAAGAATCGTATAAACTGAGAGTAGTAAGTATAGGTGAGGACCGTAATAAGAAATAAAAAGAAGTAGGCTGGTGAGAATGCAGCGGGTGTAGCCAAATATGGACACATCGTTTCTCCCTTCGATTCCAGTATATATACATATATATATATACATATATACATATATATATATACATATATATATACATATATATACATATATATATATATATATATATATATATATATTTTTTCCTTCTTATTTCATTTCTGCATTTTTCTTTGATGTTTTATCCGTCGTCTCTAGTGTTTGCTCTTTTCTTCCAAATCAGCTTTTTCCTTTCTCCCTTTTTTTTCCAAGTTTTAAAAACTTTGCAATAGCACGTACTACCGTTTATATACCACCCTTTAGATTGGATACTTCTTTTTTTTATTCTTTAGTTCTTATCCTGTCAACTGACATCCTTGTACTTTCAGTAATAGAACACGTTGGATCTGGTATATCAAACACAAGCAGCTTGCAGAACTTAATTTCTTAAAATATCAAGAAGAAAATCTTATATACGAGCTGCTTTCACCGTTCCACACAAATTTATTTATTTTGCTGGCGTAAGTCTTAGAAAAAGAGAAAAACATATTAATCCTTTGATGCAAGATCTTCTTTTAGAAATTAAAAAAAAAATATATATATATATATATATATATATATATATTATACTACCTATAAGTAAATATTAAAGGCTAACAATGGAAAAATTATATTATATTTTTGGAACGAAATTTAATAAAAGATTAAACTATTACGAATGTATTACATTGCGCATGAAGGTATATTAAAAATTTATTTATAATTGATTTTAATTTAAATCATTTATTAAAGGGTTAATCGAGCTCTTGGAAAAATCGTTTTACAAAATTCTGTAAAATTGACAATTTCAAAATTTCATATTTACGTAATTTTAATTATTTTATTCGAGAAACAAAAGCCATTCGAAATATAAACGTATTTTAAATGAAATTTTACAATCAATTTCAAAATCTATTATATAAAATCGTTTATTTGTCGGCATGTATACAATATTGATATATGTACGATTATTTGAATAATATGAACCACGTTTTTTGCTTTTTTGGATTCACATAGCGTTTCATAATAGTTACGTCGTTTAGCGAGTTCTCAGTAAGGACATTCGAAGTCTGACCGTCGGCTATCGATTTAATTTTAATTCCTTCAAGAGTGACAACGAAAACAACGATGGTATCGTTTTGTTTCGCTTGTATTTACTGTTTCCATGCGATACTGTTAACAAACCGCATTATTCATTCTCGATTTATCTAAAGTATAGGCGAGTTGACATCGTTGCAGTAATATTCCTTCACGAGGATGACTAATTCCTCACCTTGTTTCGCCTACGATAAACGATTTCAAGTCGAACTCGACATTCTCCATTTTTTTATCTTCCTACGAAATACCGCCTTCATTTATTCCTGTTTCACATCTAATATTGAATCGACATTCTAATATAGATCGATAACAAAAATTTATTTAAAATAATTTGACTCTTGGCTTACTTGTGATTTAATAAATAATATTGTTCTATTATTTTCATATATATATATATATATATATATATATATATATATATATATATATATGAAAATTAATAGTTTAGTATTTTCTCAAAATTTCGTTTAGTCATTAATTTCGTTTGTATTATACATATATTTAGTTTTATATTATACAATAATAAGTACAATGCAGTTCTTAATAAGCTACGTCTACATGAGTTTTTCAATATAATAGCACGAATTCAAAACAATAACAATATCTGATTGATCAATTGATCACGTCACATTAATATAATTTAATTACTAATACAATACCTACATATAAGTTAATTATTCGAAACTAACAAATCATTTGATTGTTAATCTTAATCTTGCTAAAAACATCGAATATCAGATTTAAGAGATAATTGATCTCCTCGACAGAAGATTTCCATAAAGACTTGAGAGCTCATAAAATGTAGTGCGATGCAAGTGAAATTCACAAGACGATGTATAGTGTAAATGCAAGTCGATAACTCACGTGCATGCTCACATAGTTATTCCATGAGCGTACATATATACGTTTTGCGAACGGATCAGCGTGTGTTTTAAAAAGGATGACCGTTTTCTCGATGCCGACCATTCCATTTGGACTCTGCTTGCTTGTTCGTTCGCTCGCTCGTTTCTTCTCTGCCAACGACGTCGTATAACTTCACGTATATACCGTTGCACTCACGCTCTCGACGTTATAAATTGCAATTTCTCCGGCCACCAAACGTGTAGGGCCGAGGAACCATGGAGAGTTCCTCCCACACTTATGCTTGGTAAATTCGTTTACGAGGATGAGTTATAAAACTCTATATGATTACATTGATTCTTGTAGAAAAATTTTAGATTTCATTCGATCGAATTTTACATTTTTATTTTAGTTCCCGTAGAGATTTAGAATTTTATTTTTTCAATTATTTTATTTATATAATATTAATTATTATAGTATTAAATATTATATAGTAATGTCATAAAGAAAAATTCTTTTGAAAATAAATCACTTTCATTGTAGCAGACATATTTGATATTTTATGTTAATTAATGTAATTTTTAATAGTTATATTTTTATTTTCATTATTCGATAGAGTATATGTATAAAAAAAAATAATTAAAAAAAACGATTTTTTTTTATTATTGAATTCTGAAGTTTCGTTGAAAACCTCATAAAAATATCAAATGAATTGCGTCGAGCGCAAACAAGCATAAATAAGAATGAATGAGAAGGAGAGAGCGAAGAATAAATAAGAATAACAGTCATGAAACGTTTCGAAGAATGAATCTCATTGGATGAGAGTTCACGATATTTTATTAAATTCATTTATTTTTACTTTCAAAAATTTGTATTAATTTTTTATTAGCGTTTTATCGACATTGTATAGTTTATCATAATCATAAAATATATCGTCACTCGTTCACTTCAATTGACAACGATAAAAGATTCATATTATAATTATAACAGATTGTGTAATATTTATTTAATATTTATAATTTTTTAAAGAAAAATATATATATATATATATATATATATATATAATGAATTTTGAAATATTTATTATATATATATATATATATATATATATATATATATATATATATATAATGCTTAAAATGAGATATCA